TAAGTTTATTATCGACATTAAATCACTATAGTTATGTGCCATGGGTGATACACGCTTTGGCGATCAAGTATCTTTCGTTACATGGCTGACGAGGCAGATTTTTTCCCACAGTAGGTTGCCATTTTTTTCTGCAGTAGACCAGTTGCCATCCAAGGCTATAGAACCCGGTCTGCCCTGCTATGTACCCATATCTGGAGGTGGGAGAAGAAGAGGATTCACACCTTTCCCAAGGGTATTAGCACGTAAGTGAATGCAGTGGATTTGAGTGGAATTCGAACTCGGCTCTCTGATTCCTCAATCCGAACCGCTATCCATTACTCCAACGTAAATCACTATAACAAAGCCGTAATAGCCTAGTTTGCGCTGTTATTTAATCCATACATGGTGTACGCACATTCTATTACGTCTGGCCTGCATACGCAACTTTTAGTGTATTTAAAGTGATTACACAACTTTTTCTTTTTTCATTTTAACAATCTAATTTCTAACAAACTGGTTTCTAGCAGTGGATATTCATTGTAAATGCAAATGGGTTTATGCTCTTTCTCCATGACTTGCATTTAAAATGTATAAATGACACTTTACGCAAAGGAATGTTGCTATTTGTCAAAGCAAAGGTTACTATAATATGGAGTCTCACATGGGTATGTGTCTTCAGCCTATCTCTCTAAAGCATCTAAGTGATCCGAGAACTTCATTTTTAGAGGAACTGAGAATGCCGGCTAGGAGGTCTAATCTCCGGTGATTAGACATTTTGCTGCGAGAGGATGTAGGTAGAACTGATAATATTCTAAATATAGACCTCAGTTACTGTTCTAACCTGTTTTTGCAATTGTCTTTTGGTTACAAATTCTAAATTTTAAAGGAGATATTTACAAATAACTTAATATTTATGCACAGGTGTTCGCCCAAATATATATACAGACAAATGAATGCACAAATCGGCAAAAAGCATATTCCATACAATAAAATTGATAAATGAAAATTGAAATAGAATTCAACATTGTGATGTACTGATTCGGAACTTGAGGCCAAAAAATTATTTTCGTCTCCAGAAATTTAATAAAGGATAGAAATGGTTTTAAAGTTCTCTTCCTGGAGGTCTTCAAGCTTTTACCGATACCAAAAACATGGCGACCAAAAATATGGATTTTAATCTTTTTATATAATTTGTTCTTCAGCTTTATTACTGTTCTAAGTTGTTTTAATTTATTTTTATTTTTTATTATTTGCATTTTTCGTACTGTTGTCCTCATCTTTGTCATATTAACGACGTTTCGGCCGTTGCATGTTCAGGTTTTCTTCAGTTCGAATTTCGAACCGAATTTTTTTTTGCTTGCAGTAATTTTGACTTTCTTGTAAATTTGCCTCGTCATTCTGTTGGGTAACTTGGGAGGTTAAAATATATATTTATCGACTTGACTAACTTTACATCTACTTTGGAGGGATGTAAGAATAACCCAGAACTTATACTGTGAACAAAACCGCCTATATACGGCTAGAAATTGGATTGAGTTGGTACACAAAAACAGAAAGTGGCGTAAGACAAGGATGTCTTCTTATTCCAGAGTGGGACTATCCTAAGAGAGCTGCAGACATTACCAGGATTTGGTAGTGAAATGCAAAATTTGAACAATAAAAATTACGCATATGATTGTGTTCATGACAGACACAGAAAGAAGCTACAGTACCTCCTTGACAAGTTAGTAAAGGAAAGCTAGAAGAAAGGACTATCACTTATAAGAAGACAATGTCCGGTTGTAAGCAGAAGAAAGAGCAATAAATATAAACACCGAATTTAAAATCGAAAGACGTACAAAAGTTTAAATATCTGGAAAGCTCCTTTATTTTTTTAACAGGATATAAAATGTGACTGAGAAATATAAAGATGGATTGCAATAGTAACATTTGTTTTCCAGAAACTCAGCAAAGTACTAAGAAACAGAAAATTTAGTAAGAAAAAAAGGTTTAAGACATGCGATATGACACAGTACTTATAGTAGACACGGAAAACAAATTACAAAATCTCCTACAGAAGATAGCGACGGCGCGTCAGAAGGAAGGACTAAGCATAAACTACAAGAAGACAGAATGCATGGTCATCATTAAGAGGATGAGCCCAAAATGCGATTTGCAGGACGGGAACATTAGAATCAACAAACGTGGAAGTTTAAATATCTGGGAAGCCTCTTGACAGATGAGGGTAAGTGCGACACTGAGATCCGTAGACGTATTGTGAATGGCCAAGGACACATTCCAAAAGCTGGGCAGAGTATTGCGAGACGGGAGGATTTATTTTGGTAACAAAGAAAAGAATACTGAACTGTTACGTGAAATCTGTTCTTCTTTACGGCAGCGAATGTTGGACGATTTCCTCAGAGATGAAGAAAAGACTCGAGGCAACAGAGATGTGGTTCTACAGAAGGTTGTTAAGGATATCATGAACCGAGCATGTGAGCAACAATGAGGTCTTAGAGAGGTTGCGAACAAGGATATGGCTTATATTTAATATCAGGAAGAGGCAGCTGAACTTTCTGGGACACATAATGAGGAAGGAGGGCCTGGAGAATCTGATACTCACAGGTCAAACAGAGGGAAAGAGAAGCAAGGGAAAACAACGCGTGACATACCTGACGGACTTAAGTAAGTGGATGACAGGACATGGTCTGGGAGAGGTGGCAGAGGGAAGGAACTTGTTGAGAGCTGCAAGTGATAGAGGGAGGTGGAGAGCTATGATCGCCTACGTCCTGAAAGGACATGGCACATAAAAAATAAAAGATGTGGTTCTATAGTAGGATACTGTGAATACTATATTTACGGAAAATGGAAACAAATGGACACTTGTACATTTAATCATAAAAATACTTTTGATATTTCTTGGAGACATAATGAAGAAGGCTAGAAAAATTTAGCGCTCACTGGACATTTTTTTTAAGCATTACGCTCCGAGCAAGGCGTGAAGCCACTAGGATGCAGGGGGTTGCAGAAGATTAGGAGCAAGAGCAGATAGGAGTGATAGAAGAAAGGATGAGGAGAAGGATAGTGGATAGATCAAGGTAACTGGAGATGTCGATTGACATTACATTTGAATAGTTGGAGATTATAGCTCTCAGGGAAACAGTAATAGGGAAGAGTGTTCCACAGGCGAGAGGTTCGAGGTATGAAGCTATTGGAGTAGAAGAGACGGCTACATTTAAAAGTTTCTACAGTGTAAGGGTGGGAGCGGGATGCCAGTCTCGTAGGGCGCTTGAATTCATGGAGTCGAAGTTAAACGGGACAAGAGGAAGAAATAGGCCACCTACATGACGAATTGATATGAAAGGAATGGAAAATACAAATATTAATATCTACGAAGGATAGAAAGTGGTGGAGAGCCATGATCCTCCAGGTTTTGAAGGGATAAGGCACATAGAAGAACTGTGCTGTATCTGAGTTAATAGTTTTATCGATGACATGTTAATGTTGCGTAGACATAAAACTTCATTAAACATGGCCTCATGTTGTCTTCATATATATTGTTTATCCGTTATTTTTATAGATACAAATATTTAAGTAAATCATCTTTTTTTACAATAGATTGTATAAACATTAATTATTATGATAATGAAATGAACAATAAATATATTAAAATAATTGTCGGACTTTGTCCATTTCGTAGTGTGTGACGTGATTTGTTTAAGCAGATATGATCGTTCGAGGGAAATCATGGAATATTGTAGTTTAAAATCAGTAAAATCGACCTTGCTAACCAGACGCTTCCCTGTAGCTAAACTGGTATATCACTCCAGGCTATATGACGGTTCCGTGTAGGATGCATATGTTCGATTCCTGTCAGAGGACGCATACTTTCTATGAAAATTTCTCGGACGTTCAGGCTGTTAATGTTGTTGATACTGTTTATTATAAACAGAGTATTTACTTAAATATTTGTATCTATGAAATAACGTATAAACAATAAATACATTAAAATAATTGTCGGACTTAGTCTATTTCATAATGTTGTCTACGTATTCATTTTTTTTTTTTTTTACATTGAATTATTTTCTTGGCTGAATTGATTTTAGTTGAAGTATTTTAATGAGTTACAGCCACCGGAAGTTGCTTTTAAGACAGGCCTGCATTCTCATTCAGCAAATCAAAACATAAAGCAGTTAAGTCCAGACACGTGACAAAACTTTGCTGAAACCAGAGATAAGAAAAAATATTTTGAATTAACCTATATACAATCTATTATGTTTTGGATTTGTCTATATTTATTTATGAGGTGAGGTTTTGTAGCTATTTATATTGTTCGAACAGTTGTCCCCATCTTTGTCATATTCACGACGTTTCGGCCGTTGTACCTCTAGCCTTCTTCAGGTGATATATGTCGGAATTTCGAACCGAACCCTTTATTTCGTTCAATGGGGTAGATTGTTCTAGTTCCACGTGCCAGGCCTTTTCTGGATATCTCGGTTCCAGTTAATTCTCTTCAGTATCTAAAATTCTTGGTCACCTGTGGCCAGAAATTGAACTCGCATCTCTTTGGTCAAGTCATTGGATTAATTCAACGAACGGTTTATCCGCGGGGCCATGTTTCCTTGGGAATAATAAAGGATTTGGTTCGAAATTACAACGTATATCGTTTGAAGAAGGGCGGAAAGTACAACGGCTGAAACGTAGTGAATATGACAGTAAAGACGAGGACAACAGTTCAAATAGAGTAAATATGTTTTAGATTGTTGATTGACTCGTTTTCTCCGGTTTATCAAGGCATTGCAGGTTATACAAAGACTGAGAAAATTTTTTAGATTGTAAGTTTTTTTTTTTCTTTTTAGATAATAATGGTTTAGATATACAAGTCTTTCTAATTCCATCGTCGGTGAAGGTGGGAGATAAGAGGATTTATACCTTTCCTAATTCATTTGCACGTAAGTGAATATAATGAAAGCAAAGAGAATTGGAAATCTGCTCTCCGATTAACCATTTCCAGCCATTATCCACCACCAGCACGTCCAACCTTACAGCACCTGGTATTCTTCAGCGGTCACCAATCTAGGTACTGACCAGAGTCAATGCCGTTTAACTTCGGTAATCGTACGGGAACTGATGTTTCAACGTGATGTAGCCATATGACTTCTTTTTTTTTTTAATGCAATAGTGATGTATGAATGGAACTAAATAGACAGATTGAATTAGGCAAGCTTAAAAAATAATTACGTTTTCACTCTGCGGAGAAAATGAGACAAAAAACACAGGTTTGCCTTCTTTGACTGTTGAACAGACCTTCTCTATTTGCTCTGTATGAATTTGCCTCTCCCCTGTGGACATCGTTGGTCAGAGGCGGATTTGCAACCGGCTTGAAATTCTCTCTCAAATCTTTGTCTATGGAGTTATTCTATAGTGATGAATCTGTTTGTTTCCATTCTATATGAAGAAAAGATATTTCGAGCATTTCCATGTCTTTCCAAGGAAGGTCGCTAAATACGAAACTAACATTTTGTTTATGGAGTAACGAATCCGATGTATCAGTACTCACACAGTGTGGCTGTATTGTCATTTTCAGAACAAAAGTAAAATGGAATGAAAGAAAAACTCTGAATGTCAGGCGAAAATTAATCAAGACAGAATTCGGTATTGATGAGGTCGTTTGATTTTTTTTTTGTTCTGATTACTCTTGATTTTTCACTAGTCCTTTCCCAATTTATTCTTTACTGGATTTTCTTCAATTTTCCGTTTTTGGTTCTTTCATTATTTGCGCCTTTCTGATATCGTCTGTCGCCTTTGATATTTTTTTTCCTCATCGTTGGCATTTTGTTCTTTGCCCACCACTTTTACTGCTTTTTCGCTGCTGCTACTCTTTCTCTTTTTCTCTTTCCCTTTCCCTTTTTCCCATTCCCTTTTCTTTTCTTTTTTCCTTTTATTTTTTCTTTCTTTCCCTTTTTTTTTTTTTCCTTTTTTCTTTTTATTTTTTTATAAACCTTTTATCACCCTTTTTTTTTTTTTTTTTTCTTCTTTTTTTTTTCTCTTTCCTTTTTCTCTTCCCCCTTTTCTTTTCCCTTTTCTCTCTCCTTTTTTCTCTCCTTTTTTTCTTTCAAATTCTTTTTTTTTTTTTTTTTTTTCCTTTTTTTCTCTTTTCCTTTTTTCTCTTTCCTTTTTTTTTTTCCCTTTTTTTTTTAGATATTTCCTTTTTTCTCTTTCCTTTTTTTAACGAAATCCTTTTTCTCTTTTCCCCTTTTTCTTTTCAACTTTTTCTTTTCCTTTTCTCTCCTTTTTTCTCTCTCCTTTTCCTCTCCTTTTTTTTTTTCCTTTTTCTCTTTTTTCCTTTTCTCTTTTTTTTCTCTTTTTTTTTTCTTTTTTTTTTTTTTTTTCTCATTCCCTTTTCTCTTTCCTTTTTTCTCTTTTTTTTTTCTTTTCCCCTTTTTCTTTTTTATTTTCTCTTTTTTTTTTTTTTTCCCTTTTTCTCATTCCCTTTTTCTCATTCCCTTTTTCTCTTTCCCTTTTTCTCATTCCCTTACTGCTACACATTCTGTACCTTTCTTTCGTTTATACCTTTTACTCATTCGCTCTGTTTTTCTATTTTCACCTCTCCCTCTCTAACTTGCTTGTTTATCTATATTTTTCCCTCCATTTTTGTCTCTCCCCGTCTCATTAGCTGACATTTTTTTTTATCTCTTTTCCCGTTTTCGCCTTTCCGTCTCCACCTTTTCTTTTTCTTTTTTCTTTTTTCCCTTCCCCATCTCTCTTTTCATCCATTTCCCCCCCTCTCTCCTTCTCTACCTTTCTTTTCTTTTTACTTTCTCTCCTTCGCCACCTGTCCTTTCCTTTCTCGTCTCGTTCTTCGCTAGAACTCTTTTCTTTTTTTTTTTTCTTTTCTGCTTTTGTCTTTTACCCACCCTCTTCGTCCTTCGCTGATTTTCTCTTTTACTATTCCACCCATTCACTACTTTTGTTGCTTACTCCTCCCCTTTTTGCGATGCATTTGTCTTTTCACTTGCCTCACCATTCATTATGTTTGTCCTTTACCCCCTCCCTTCATTAACTGCATTTACTCCCTCCCCCACCCCTTGATCCCTCCTTCATTGCTTTTGTAGTTTACCCCTCCACCTCCTTCGGTAAATGTCTTTTTTTCACTCTCACCTTCACTGCCTTTAAAAAAGTCCTTCGTTGATTTTGTTTTTACCCCTGCTTTCCCTGCATCTCTCTCTCTCTTCTTATTTTTCCTTTTACTTTCTTCTCAGTTTTTCTTTTTCCCCCTTGTTTACGACCATATCATGTTAAAATACCGCTTCTAGTACGATTTTTCGAAGTTAAGCATCATTGAGCCTGGTCAGTGACGAGATGGGTGACCGCTTTGGAATATCAGGTGCTGTAAGCTTGAACGTGGTGGTTGTGTAACGAATAACGGCTCGGCATTGTTAGTCGGAGAGTTCCAATTCCAATCGGGTTCGTTATATTCACGCCCAAATACCCTTGAGAACGTTATGAATCCACATTTGCTCCCCCAGCTATTGGTTAAATAGTGCTACTTCTATCATTACTTCCCCCAAATCTTTACAATCAACAAAATATTTTCTGCCATTTAAATGACCTGTGAAAGGTTGATAAGGCATAAAATTGAAAACAAACATTTTTATTCTTTACTTCATGTCAGTTTTCGCTTCTTCTTCATTGTTACTCTCTTTTCCCTACCTACTTTCACAAACTTTGTATTTTTTTTCCTCTTGCTAAGATGTCTGCTTTTTTAATAGTTCGTTTTCTGTTTTTTCTTCCTAAATTTTATCAAACTTTAGGCCTGGAACTTGCATCGTTTCCGCTTTGCATCCTCATCAGTCTAGCGGGGTGCTATGAAATTCTTACACATTGATACACATCCCCGTAAAACTACCAGAGTTGATTCACTATAGATGTACCATTCACTACGTATGAATTTTTGCACATACTCACATAGACAAAGAGAATGACAGGAAGACATTTTTGAATGTCAATAAGTAAACGAGTTTCCCAAAATGAAATTGATAATGCAAGAAGAAAAATTGTAAGTAATGAAAAAACGACTTATTGATGTTTCCAGTATGACAGATACAAGAGCGTTTTTCTGTGGAGGCATTTATGGCGAAAGAGCTAGGACTGCAAAGTGTCTTTGTTAGTTTACATCTCAAAATTAACAAATCTCATTCTCTCTCCCTCTCTTGATCTATCACCAATCTATATGTCTCGTTTCCCGGTCTCTGCCTGTACGCCTCGTTTCCCGGTCTCTGCCTGTACGCCTCGTTTCCCGGTCTCTGCCTATGCGCCTCGTTTTTCGGTCTCTGCCTGTACGCCTCGTTTCCCTGTCTCTGCCTATGCGCCTCGTTTTTCTGTCTCTGCCTGTACGTCTCGTTTCCCGGTCTCTGCCTGTACGCCACGTTTCCCGGTCTCTGCCTATGCGCCTCGTTTTTCTGTCTCTGCCTGTACGCCTCGTTTCCCGGTCTCTGCCTGTACGCCACGTTTCCCGGTCTCTGCCTGTACGCCACGTTTCCCGATCTCTGCCTATGCGCCTCGTTTTTCTGTCTCTGCCTGTACGCCTCGTTTTCCGGTCTCTGCCTGTACGCCACGTTTCCCGGTCTCTGCCTATGCGCCTCGTTTTTCTGTCTCTGCCTGTACGCCTCGTTTTCCGGTCTTTGTCTGTACGCCTTGTTTCCGGTCTATACATTTTGCTCTCTCTGATATAAAATCTTAATTTAAACTCTCAACCTCGTTCTTACTAAAAACTTTTATAACATGTTCGTTCAGGACATAAACTATGAATCTCGCGCAATGTGTCATTTGAACACAAGTCCTCGGCATCTCTTGTAATTTCACTCAGATTTAATCACAACAGAACAGTAATATGCCAATCTACCCGCATAGAAGAAACACATAACATTTTGGAAGCCTTTAACATCTAAGAATATGGCTATCAATAAAATCTGTTTCCATCTAGGTGCCCACGTGATGTGATTTTTTTTTATATACGTGACGCTAAAATCTGTTCCACAATTATAGAAAGTGAATTAATATTTATTTTAAACTTCGGCTGTCAATATATACCCTACACTTGCTATCTCTTGACTGGCAATATTCTTTCCTTGAAAATATCCAACGATAATCGGACGTATTTGTAGCATTACTCACAATTTCGGCAAGTTCATTTACAAGATTCTACCTGACATCGACACACTAAATAAAAGCCCCAACAATCCTTCAGTGTCCGTTCTGTTCAGTAAACCACGTTTAAAGTACAGATTACTGCCTAATATATACTATGCTTAAATTCCTAATTTATGCATCTTGCTGAATTAATTAAAACGAACACATCAAATCATCCATTTAACACTAGTATATGTAAGCTTTCTCGCAATTACGTAACTTTACACAGTTATTAACTGAATTTTGCTCGTAAATTCTCCTTATATAATGTTCGCTCCATAAATACTTCTGCTAATTCATTTTTACTTTAAGTACTAGAGAAGAATCGAATAAATTCTTCAAATTTTAATGTGTGTTTAAAGATAAGTTATTTAAAATATAAATGACAAAACGTGATATCGAATATCTACAAAGATGTGTCTTATAGCTTGCCCAGCATAACGGTTTTTGCTTAATGCATATAAACAATTTACTTACTCAATTATAGAAAGTATATTAAAATAACTCATTCATTTGCAATATGTCCCTTTTCTATTCTAATAAACGATTATTTTGTAGATGGCCTTATCATTGAATTGCCTAATTATTTAAAGAAAGCTATTTTATACACTGTGGAAACCTGCTTAGAATTTAGATCACAGCTTGAACGTAAAGGGAAATAAGTAATGTATTAAGGGATGTTAGCAACGTTGATTTTTTAAAAATATATTATTCTGAAAATCTAGATATTATAACACGCCCTACCAACTAGGTTTCTGACTCCAAATATTAAGCCTAGGGTTTACTCTCGACAATCTTTCCCTTCCGTTCCTCAAGGTAAAGGAAATTTGAAATGAAAAATTCTTCTCTTTGATGGTCTGATCACCAAGATTATTACAGCTTACGCAAATATCGAAAAGAATCGACTGCTTAATGCAATGAAGCAAATCGAAATGATTTCACCCGCGCAATTCAGCGTATCATTTCATGATAACGATGAAATATAAAAAAAAAGATTTTTTTTTCTTTTCAGAAACTACAGTATATTAAATTTGTATACGCTTTCGTTTTGTTAACTGATCTTTGTTAGAAACAAAGAAAAGTAGTGCTGGATTGCTTATGGGGGTATCCATCCTCTTATATGACAGTGAATGTTGGACACTTTCCCGAAGGATGAGAAAAGAAAAACAGTAGAGGCAGCAGACATGATTCTACAGAAGGTTACGAAAAATTCCATGGTCGGAGCGAGTAAGAAACAAGGAAGACTTCAAGAAAAAGACAACAGAAAGAAGACTACTACAAAAAATTAAGAAAAGGCAGCTGAAATTCCTAGGACATATAAAGGGGAAAGGAGGCTTCGAAAACTTAAACATGACGGGTCATACGGAGGGCAAGAAACATAGGGGAAGGCCGCGAGCCACTTATCTGACGTGCTTATATAAATGGAAGGCAGGACAGGGATGGGGAACTTAGTAGAGGAAGAAAAACTGCTAAGAGTCAGACGGGATAGAAAGTTGTGGAGAGCCATGATCGCATGACCTGAAGTTGCCGCGGCACATAGAAAACAGAAATTATATCTATATTCCTTCTTAGTTAGTTTAGAAAGCAGCCGTCATAGTTACAATAATAAAATATATATATATATATATATATATATATATATATATATATATATATATATATATATATATATATATAATAAATTAATTGATTTAAAATATGGGAAAAAAAAACATATTTCAAATCAATTAATTTATAATACTAGTGCTCTGTAAATTTACATTGAGCACTATTTTGTAAAAATAAAAATATCTATAAGAACACCGGATTATATATCTTATTGTTTCTTTTCTTTCTTTATATTCTATATATATATATATATATATATATATATATATATTAAATTGGTGGAAAAACAATGTCGTTTTTTTTTGACCTTAAAAATACGTCAAAAACGACATTATTACGTCATTATTTTTTGCACCAACCTAATATATATATATATATATATATATATATATATATATATATATATATTAATTATTGCCTAAATGAACCTTAGTCGTACCATCGGCGTGGGACATTATATATATATATATATATATATATATATATATATATGTAAAAGGTAGAGGAATGTAAAGGTAGAAAATCTGTTTGTATATAATCAACGTGGATCGTAATAATATAAAATCTTAAAACTGATCTACAAAAAAAGCTCAGTGCATTTATTATTACAGAGCAATATAATTAATAAACAATAAAATCCAAAGTCCCCTCATATGGGGAACAGGCTATTTCGCCAGACGAAGATATCGGTCGTCTGTCTTATCAACTCCGGTGGGGACTGAGTTCGTGTCAGAAATAGAAATTTAACTGTGAAAGCTAAAAAAAAAAAAAAAAAAAAAAAAAACACCAGTCGAAAAATTAATGCATTTTTCAATGTTTCAGTCAGACGAAAGGCACGGGATAGGAGTCAAGCGAAGGTGGAAGGTATTTTTTCTTAAAGGGAAGAAGTTTTATAAAATTAAACCCGAATATTAAAAATATGACATTAATTTTGTGTCATACGAAGAATGAAATATTAATTTAAAATTAAAAGACGAATAAAAAGGGGTTTAAAAATAACTTTAAAGTATATAGATAAAATGATGTAAGGGATTAATGGAAAGAGAGTTGGGGAGATCTTAGAATAGGGCAAAGTTCATGAATTATAATTAATATAGTGCAAAGAGGTTACAGAGTGGGAATATAGAAATTAGAATTAGTTATACTTTCGTCCTTTGAAGAGTTAGAGGGGAAGTGAATATTATGGAAATATAGTAGCTAATTAAGTTAAACCTATATGATGGAAATTTGAATTTGTTTTTATGTCTATATTTTAACACTAATTCATTCGACTGTTTCAATAGTTGCCTTTGATTTTATTAGTATTATATTATTATTCAGTTTTCTTCAAAGCATAAATGACACTTATTTCTAAGACTATTAAGAGCACGTGCGTAACCTATAATCTTCCAAACTGTCTGTGGGCTCAAACCTTTCTCCTTCAAAGCCCAAATATTTTTATGAACTTTTTATATTTTTATAAATTGTTTTAAATTTTTGTAAACTTCCCTATACATATAATTTTTCTCATGCGCGCGCGTGCACACACACACGCGCATACACACACACACACACACACACATATATATATATATATATATATATATATATATATATGTATGTGTGTGTATATATATATATATATATATATATATATATATATATACAAACACAAAAATATATATGCGTGTGTGTTATAGGTTTGTGTGTTTGAAGCATAAAAAAAACCTGTTTGATTTGATAACAAGCTAGAAATATCTAGTGCGTGTGCGTACACGATGGAATGTTTTTCCCAGATGTATAAATAGATGTGCCTATCTAGCTTTAATAAGGAAAAATGAATGAATTTTTAAAAGATAAAAAAAAATCACTAAAAGCAACTAGTTTTTGAAAGCTGGCTTAGAAGTCTATTTTATTATTCCATCTTCGCACGCCGTTGGAATAGGATTTTAATAATCTATAAATATGTACTTTTAAGGAGGTTGCACAGTAATATACAAATAAGACACGTCCCTTGTCATTTGCAGAAAAGAGCTACCTATATCTATCTATCTATCTATCTATCTATCTATCTATATATATATATATATATATATATATATATATATATATAATCTGAGTTTTATCTATCCACAAGTACACGAGGGAGTTCTAAAATTACCAGCCTGACCGACTTTTGAAAATTTAACCAAATAACAAAAATAAAAATTGTTTTTGCAAGGTCTTTTTACTCGGGTCGAGAAATTTTCAGTAATCTATTATGTACCCCCACACACACACTTATATATATATATTTATATATCTATCTATCTATCTATCTATATATATATATATATATATATATATATATATATATATATATATATATATATATATATATATATATATGGGCAGTATATCTCGGCAACAATAAACGTATGGTTACATAACATAGACAAGTTTTTTCAATCATTTTTTAATTTTTCAAATTTACAATGATGATTTGTATTATTGCTAAATTTGTGTAAATTAAAAAAAAATACGTTTTGTCCATATTGGCCATTGTCCCAGGAGCTTTCGGTCACTTCTGCAGCCATTTTTGCACTTTTGCTATATTCAACGGAACATATCGAGAATACCTGTCAACTATCAATTCCTATTGCTCACTCACAAATATTTGTGTCTGTTCAACAACCACAGAGCACACCTGTGGTTTATACGTCAACTATGCTGAGCAGACCATAGTTACAGTTTTTTAGGAAAGGGCATGTTATCTAGCGTGATCAACAATCTGAACAAGGCCATCACGCTCAAACCCTCGATCACGATGACTTGTGACTTCACCCTGTATTCTGTGTATATTTCTCCACCCGCCCTGTATTCTGTGTATGTTCCCCCCGCCCTGTATTCTGTGTATATTCCCCCCGCCCTGTATTCTGTGTATATTTCAACCCCCCCCGCCCTGTATTCTGTGTATATTCTCAACCCGCCCTGTATTCTGTGTATGTTTCCCCCCCTGTATTCTGTGTATATTTCAACCCCCCCCCTGTATTCTGTGTATTTTCTCCACCTGCCCTGTATTCTGTGTATGTTCCCCCCCGCCCTGTATTCTGTGTATTCCCCCCGCCCTGTATTCTGTGTATATTTCAACCCCCCCCCCCCCTGTTCTTCTGTATATTTTCTCAACCCCGCCCTGTATTCTGTGTATGTTTCCCCGCCCTGTATTCTGTGTATATTTCAACCCCCCCCCTGTTGTATTCTGTGTATATTTCTCCACCCGCCCTGTATTCTGTGTATGTTTCCCCCCGCCCTGTATTCTGTGTATATTTCAACCCCCCCCCTGTTTTTTGTGTGTATATTTCAACCCCCCCACCCTGTATTCTGTGTATATTTCTCCACCCGCCCTGTATTCTGTGTATATTCCCCTCGCCCTGTATTCTGTGTATATTTCAACCCCCCTGTATTCTGTGTATATTTCAACCCCCCCCCCCTGTATTCTGTGTATATTTTCAACCCCCCCCGCCCTGTATTCTGTGTATATTTCAACCCCGCCCTCCCTGTATTCTGTGTATATTTCAACCCCCCCCCTGTATTCTGTGTATATTTCAACCCCCCGCCTGCCCTGTATTCTGTGTATTTTCAACCCCCCCGCCCTGTATTCTGTGTATATTTCAACCCCCGCCCGCCCTGTATTCTGTGTATATTTCAACCCCCCGCCCTGTATTCTGTGTATTTTCAACCCCCCGCCCGCCCTGTATTCTGTGTATATTTCAACCCCCCCCCCTGTATTCTGTGTATATTTCAACCCCCGCCCGCCCTGTATTCTGTGTATATTTCAACCCCCCCCCCTGTATTCTGTGTATGTTTCCCTCTATATTATGCTCTTCTTTTCTCTTCTCTTTTCTTCATTATCGTCGATCGGCTTTTCTTTCCGTATATTTCGTAAATTATTTTTTTTGCCCTGTCCTTTGCTTCTGTTTTAAACTCGTCCAACCATTTTTTTCCTTTCTTTCCCCTATTCTGTCTTCCTCTTTTTTCTATTTTCCTATTCGGATGTTACGAGTACTGTCATTATATTACGTCCTCTTGCTCGTCATCAAAGTAACACGCAGAAGGTCGCTCACAGGTTATGATATATTTTAACCGCTATACGTAGATATAAATATTCACCTATATGTGTGCCTTGAAGAACGGATAAAAATGAATATTTCCTCTTCCGAGATATTTTTCACATATATAGTTGGCTTAAGATGAGTGGGTTGTGTAATGGTGTCATCGGCTCGGAATGAAACTTCAGCGAACCGAATTCGAATTCCAGTCGATTCACACACCAATAATCTTGAGAAAGGTAAGAATTAATCATTCCTCTTAAAAGCTTAAAATCTTTGAGTTAAATAGCAGGTCACGCTGGACTCTTTAGCCTTAGTTGACAACCAACTTAGGAGATGAAAACTTTGAATTTACAACCGGTTTGCCATAGGGTTAGTAAACGACTGGAGCCAGAGTAGCAATGCCTGGTGCTGTAGAGAATTGACGTCTCCATATTCTCCATAGAGCCTACTAGACTTGACTCATTAAACTGGCATAAGAAAGTTACATGCATTATTTATATACAAATATTCAGTATATTTTGACAGCAATTGTTTTTGAAAAACAGTTTTACTGAAAAGAATATACATTTTATTCATCACTCTTTTCTAATATGCGAACAAATTTTTTGTAAATGCGACTGTGAAAATCTACAAAAATTTGTATTAAGTGCAAACTTTCGACTAGTATGTGTCATCTTCAGGAGTCTGAGTAAAAAGAAGTAAAGAAGATCAAACGTGTTTTAAGCAGCGCAATGCTTCAATAGTGTCGCTATATTTTGGTTGAAAGTTAAATCTTGGACAAAAGAACTCAGTAAATCATGTCAGTTTATGATATATCACATTACCTCTTTGACCGTACCTCAGTTCGGATTCATTTAAAAACACACGGAAACCTATCAAATGTCATCTTCAGCTTAATTCTAGAAAATAACAGTATAACAGCTTCACCCACATATGAAAAAAAATAATAGAAGTACTAATAATAAAATGCCAACATACATTCAATAACATGAACACAGTCAGCACATTGTGACCGTGTTTGGAAAATAATACATTCCTACAATTCTAGATACATACAAAAAAATCCATATATTAAAAATAAAAATCCTCGATAATAACTAAAAGAATAGACGAAAGAGCTCACGTATGCAGAACATTTGGGCATTTTACAATTTTTTTTTATCAGTATCACCTCAAGCAAGGCAGTACAGCCACTAAGACGCAAGGGATTACAGAGCGTGGAGAAACTAGGAACAGAAATGAATACAGAGGGAAAAGAGTAATTATAAGGACGGTAGGTAGCGATTGACATTGTATTTAAATTTTTGCAGATTAAAGTTAGGCTGGAAAGGTTTACCATCGTGTCTACATGGTTTGTTGAGATCAAGGTTAGAGATGATAGCGGAAACAATGGAAGGGATTATAAGTCTATCACTCAACAGAGAATCATTTCTAAGTGGGAAGTTACTCCAGTTGAGTCAAGAGTAGAATGTGAGGATAATTTACTGGCAAAGCATTCAGATATATCAGCAAAGGATGATAGCACCTCAAATTGATTGAATCGGTGGGGGGGGGATAGAGAACTTGCATTTATTTAGTACCCTATTACAGAGCCGCCAGTAATCACGAGAGCCAAAGTAGAGGAAATGCGATGCCACATTCTATCGGCAAACAGGGAATTAGCTCCTTCAAGGACTCACATACATTTATTACGAGCAGTAGCGAATAGGCCCCTGTTATGACGCGTGCTGTCATGCTGGTGTGAACCATGGACATGTTTGCGGTTTCACTTGATATTTCCGAGAAGGGATGAAAACGTCCACTATGTCGTCTTTGACTAAAGAAGAAACCTCAGTGGCGCAGTTTTCAATTGGGAGGATGAAGGGCATCACGAAGAAAATCCCGGAATGAGTCCCAATCGTCATGCTGATAATGGAAACAGGTCTTATGGATAAGAGGGTCCTGTTTAATGGATGCTTGGAAGCCGATATTAATAGCTACTACAGAGTGGTTCGAGTTAGCAAGAGGGCAGCATTGCGGCAAGAGAAGGTAACAATTAGATCCAGTTGAGAAGCCTGTTGCTTGGTTTGCTTAGGGAAACAAGTAAGAAAACCCACAATTTGAGTAAGGGATTGGGCAACGGGAAAATATAATGTCTACATACCAACAACAGTTTTAGAATATTTCAGCCACATGTCATGATGAGCATTAAGTCACCGAAGACAAAGATGTTTTATACAAGCGCAAAAAAAAGAAAAAGCTTAATCGCTGTATTTTGTATTTAATGTTTTTTTTTTAATGAAACTTGTATAATAGATGGGTGCTGCCCAGACACACACGTTGAATTCAACCGATAATTTCTGTTTATTTTTTTTTTTTTAAGTGTGTAAGAAATATTTAAAAAGTTTATTAAAAAAGTAAAAAAAAAAAAAAAACTCATTCATTAGAGAGATCTCTCTTCCCTTAGCTGTTAGGCATGGCCTTACAATGCACTGTTTTAAATTATCTTTCTAAACAATACCAGGATATAATCAACGGAATCTTTCCTACCACACGGACACCATATTTTTTTAAAGACCCGAAAGTGCATAAAAAGAATAAAAATGAACTTCGGCTAGTTCGAAAATACATCTACTTCGAAAACTGGAAAAGTTTAATAAAAAATAACTAAACGTATCTTGTCGGTTGAATTTTGTCAAACTGGCTTGGATAAATATACGACAATATTTTGAGGGTGGTGAAGTTTTTTTTTATCATTCTCGCAATTTGGATATGCATGTCATGTTGACATCCTACTAATAATGACGTATTCTTTAAACAGGCCATTCAACGCTTCTGGTATATTACAGGACCTGTACACTCCTCCAGCGTCTGAATATAGGTCTATAAACATTTACTTGGTTAAGTGATAGGTATTAGGTTGGAACAAAAATAATGACGTAATATTTTTTGCACCAACCTAATAAATATTAGTTGTTTATTTTAGAATATTTCATCGCTTGGAGGGGTCTTACTCCTTCTGCAGGGAATGCAGCTGGCGTATACGAGGCCTCATCAACAGGGCAGGCTTTAGTTGTTGCTTAATCTGAAATTAAATTTTATTTTTAGATGTTACATTGTATTTCTTTTCTACGTATTTATTGTCATTCTGATGGCGATATTTGCTTCATTTTTTTTTAATTTGTGGGTGCGAAATAGTTAAATTTTCTTTTTTTTTTCTCTTGAAGACAAAACATTTTGATATAATGATTGCGTTATACATAAGGACTTTCATCAAAGTAACACTAGTGACAAAAAGACAGCTGCTTTCAAAATGAAACATTTCAAATAAAATGGATGAAATCGCGCAAATGGAAGGAACCAATATTAATCGCCTACATACTTTATTTACACTATTTACATTATTCAGACTATTGTCCTCATCTTTGTCGCCATATTATTCATCACAACGTTTCGGCCGATGTACGCTCCGGCCTTCATGGCGAGTAGGTCGAACTGAACTCTTTATTTCGCTCACTGGGGTAGACTGTTCTAGTGACACGTGCCATGACTAAAGGATGTCACTTATCTCCTGTTAATTCCCCTCTCCAAGTTCTCCACCGCCTTAACCAGGTATTGAACTCTCACTCTTTGGGTCCTGTCACTGGATCTAACTAACACCTTTATCCACTGTATTCAGATGTTTATTTGGTCCACATACATACATTATACCTGTAAAGTCAATATAAATAATAAACAAAAGAAAGAATTTTTTTTACCAACACGTTTCGTCCACGTAGGGATATTATCAAGTTAAAAAAAAGTGTTCCTCAATGGGCAAAACGCGTTCGTAAATAAGTTTTCCTTTTCTTTCTTTTTTTCAAATATATATATATATATATATATATATATATATATATATATATATATATATATATATATAACCAAGCAACTTTTAAAATTAAACCAAGATTTACCTTTTTTCTATTTTTTTTCTTTTTGCGTATTCTGTGTATATCCCCCCACCATATTCTGGAGATATTCAAGGACTTGGAGAGGGGAATTAGCCGGAGATAACTGATACCCATTAGACATAGCACGTGGAACTAGAACAGTCTACCCCAGTGAGCGAAATAAAGGGTTCAGTTCGACATTCCAACCACCTGATGGAGACCGGAGCGTACAGCGGCTGAAACGTTGTGATGAATATGGCGATAAAGATGAGGACAATATTCCGAATAATGTAAATTGTGTACATAATACCTTATCTCAGAAATATAGACAGATCCTACATACTTTGTTTCAAAAGATTCAATATAGAATCCTAAAAAAAAAAAAAGATGACATATTTGACTTTCATTTTGTCATTACTATTAATAATAATAATAATAAAATAATAGAAAAATTATGTAAAATCGATTGTCCTGCTTCTGTCTCATCAACTCAAATAGAATTTGAGAGATCGGTTTACTTATTAATGGAGTATGAGGCGACCAAGTGTGCTTGGGAGTTACACTTGGATACATGAAAACGGAAACCGTCGAAGCAGATTAGATTATCCGATCTGAAGGTGTTTCTAGCTGCACCCTATCGATAAGCTTTATATGCCACTCAAAAGCAGTCGCATATTTGGCTATGATGCATTTCCCTGGTATACGCTAATCACGAAGAATATATTTGGTTTTGCATACCCTACCGTCTTTTTCTTGACGTACTTCTCTCTCACTCACTCACTCACTCACTCACTCACTCACTCACTCACTCTCACACAAAATAATAATAAAGAATTAGCATTTGGAATTCAAAGTAAATTTACCGTATTTTGTTGCTTATTAACCGCATTTGTTTTGCCGATAAAATATTTCCAAAAGCAACCCGGCGCCCTATAAATCGAAATTCTGTGAGCAAAGTTAACTTTTCTTCTAATTCATGTTTTTTTTCGATTTTTTTCATTTTAAATTTTTTTTAAGGTGGGGGGGGGGGTGGCGTTTAATGCACCAGAGCGTCTTATAAACCGCAAAATAAGGTCATTCAAATGCCTCGGTGGCTGGATTAGTTAATAAACCTTTGGTAAAGCTGAAAAGGAAATTGAAAAACAGATACTACAAAACCAAAACATTAATATGAAAACATGTCATGGTCTCAGATATTCTTAAGTCCGGGATATTATTGAGTTGGTGCATAATTATCAGGCGTTTATTAGTCGTCATTTGTTAATAAAAATTGCTGTTTTGTTTACTTTTTTCAATAAAAAATTTATTTTCAGGTTATAAAAATGCAGAATAATAATTTAAAAATTTTGCTGAATTATTTTTGCTTTTTTTTTTCTATAGTAAATATTGTTGACAAACGCCTGATAATTATGCACCAAACTAACAAAAAAATTCATCTGGCAATATGTCCTCCAATTGGGAGATTGGAGGTTTTGAGGAGCATCGAAAAAATTGGTAAAATTGGCAATAATGGGGTGGACTAAGTGCAAGGTAATTTTTTTTCTTCGATTTCTTTCTTCAATATAATTGGGAACGTCTAATGTATTGGATCCTTATAAGCTGCGAAATAGGTTCTTTTTTCGAATGTATGAATAATTCACCCGTTCTATTCTGTTCTAATTGATGTAGAGTAAATAAAACATTAATGATTTATATATATATATATATATATATATATATATATATATATATATATATATATATATATATATGTGTGTGTGTGTGTATAATGTGAAAGTTGAACTGATAAATTCATTTTCATTCATATTTATAAAACATTATTTTTATATTACAATTTAATACTTTTCTATTTGCTCACAGAATTACGTTTTTACAACGTTTAGTAATGCGAAATAAACGTTTCAAAAACATTTCCTGCAGTCTCTCCAGAATGTACCTACGTGTTATCTTATAAATATCTTGTTTGTAACGAGCCAAGTACTCCGCAAAAACTCTATAATACATTCCAGTAAGATATTTAGAAAATGAATTCCCCAAATAAATGAATGATTCTCAACTAAAAAACAAGGATTTTTAATTGCAAAAAAAAAAATTATACGTTCTATTCATATTGTTAAATGAAGTTAAAACATGCTGTTATTGAACAGTGTAGAATTTTTTAGCTACATCACTTCGCATATTTACCATAATGAGAAGATCGGCGATCGTATTTCTATAGGAGGCTCGGTTCGACGCGTGCCATCAAGACGAAGCTCGGTTCGACGCGTGCCATCAAGACGAAGCTCGGTTCGACGCGTGCCATCAAGACGAAGCTCGGTTCGACGCGTGCCATCAAGACGAAGCCCGATTCGACGCGTGCCTTCAAGACGAAGCTCGGTTCGACGCATGCCATCAAGACGAAGCTCGGTTCGACGCGTGCCTTCAAGACGAAGCCCGATTCGACGCGTGCCTTCAAGACGAAGCTCGGTTCTATCCGGGTCAACAAGGCCTGCATCCCTCAGAGAGGAACTCTTCTGTGGCCGAAAAATCTGTCATTGGAACAAACTCTTCCAACAACGATGAGACACCTGGTCACCAAACCCGGACTATTTCGTACCTTGTACCAAGTGATTCGATATCAAATCAATAAAAAGAAAGCGAACAAAATGGACTCGCTAAGAGTATCATGACATCCATTTTTTCACGGCGCTCAAAAATTCACATCAGAATCTCACAGATCAAGCCTACCAAATTTGAAGAACTAGGGAAGGAACTATTAGGTTGGTGCAAAAATAATGACGTTTTTTGACGTTAAAAATACATCAAAAAACGACATTATTACGTCATTATTTTTGCACCAGCATAATAATATAAGAACCAATCTCAACCCAAACCATGCTTGCTAATGTCCACAGGGACATCGGGCGAAGTAAGACTCACAAATGTGGAAATAGGTCAGGTAAACCTAATATAAGACAGAATAGAATAACCCATCACTTAAACCATAAAAAACATGAGACTGGAAATAAATGACAGGGGATAAATTAAAAACTAAAGTAAATGATATGTGAAACAATAAACTCCCAGGAAATAATAATCCCCCAGGAAATAAAACTGAAGAATCTAATTACAGTATAAACTGTAGTTATCCAAATTATGTCACTGAAGATAACTCAAACGAAATCAAGGCAGAATTTCTTGAAAACAACAGAGTATCAGCCACGGGGACACATTGGTTGTGCCCGTGGTGCAATACAGTTTCAGTATCCTTAATTGGACAATAACTGACAATAAGTGAATGGACGCCAAAACGAGAAAGCTTCTCATTTGCTTTAGCATGCATCATCCTAAGGCTGATGTTAATCGTCTGTATGTATCCAGATCTGAAGGAGGCAGAGGATTTGTTCAACTAGAACTGTCTTACAAACTACACCAATCGGCCTTCAAAGATATCGAGAAACAGAAGACTGGATGAATATGAAAGAAGAAAGAAACTTGATTCAAAGGAAACTAACAAGTTCAAAATGGATTTTCAAGTGGGTGAAGAAATGCAAGTAAAACATACTACACCTACTGAAGCTGCAAAAACCTTAAAAAGGAAGTAAAGGCAAATGCAATCGACCAGATACAGAAACGATGTTAGGATAAACCTCTTCACGGTCAATATTCTGCCTGTAACAAACAAATGGATGTAGACAAACTCCGTAAACATCTGTGGATATGCAGTGCAGGGTCAAAAGCTAAATCAGAAGGACTAATGATTGCGTACTAGAAATTATCAAGCACACATACTGAAAAATTCTGTTAGCTCAAAATGCAGATTCTGTGATAAATATCTAGAAACAACGATCTTGTATTAGGTTGCACGGTATTGGCACCCACTGTATATATAACACGACATGATGTAGTAAGCCAATATCTGCAATGAAAAATCTGCAACTTTTAGGGAAAGGAGACTGCAAGAAATTGGTATGAACATCACTCACAACCGGTTACGGAGATAGGTTCTGTAACAACTTTATGCGACTTTACAATGCACAGAGACAGAATAATCAAAGCTAATCACCTACACATTGTGATCAGAGACCGTAGAAACAAAATGAGTCTTCTTATTGACATGGCAGTCCCTGCAGGCTGTAATGTATCTTTGAAGGTCTTTTTAAAATCTATCAAACTACAAGGACCTTGAAATCGAAATCTCAAAAATGTGGCATATAAAGACATGAACAACACCAGTTCGAGTTGGAGCTTTCGGATTGATTGGAGGAGGTTCCAATAGATTTACTGAAAGGATTCCTGGTAGCCCATGCCTTAAAGAAATACAGAAAATTGTACCCACAAGTACAGCCCACACCTTACAAAGGGCTTTAATCATGTAAAATAAGAGTGATCTTAGGTGATGTTTCCTTTAAAAACGCTCAGTAGATAATGTCATGATAGCATTTTTGACCATAGGTCTCCGGTTGGCACCCGGAAAGAAATGAGTATACACCAGAAATCAAAGAAAATAACAATAATAGCAACAACACGACCACCAACAATAATAGTAACAGCAACAATAATAATAATTATAGAAACAAAAACAACGATAATTGTTATCATAACAACAACAATAACTATTATTATAAAAGCAGCAACAACAATAATAATTATTATTATTATAAGAAGTATAAGAACAATAATTATTATTATTATAACAACAACAATAATAATAAATATTATTAATAATTATTTTTATAACAACAACTATAATAATTATTATTATTATAACAACAATAATTATTATTTTAACAATAACAATAATTATTATTATTATCATAACAACAATAATAATTATTATTATTAAACAACAACAATAATAATTATTATTATTAATAATTATTTTTATAACAACAACAACAATAATAATTATTATTATTATAACAATAATAATAATAATTATTATTATAACAACAATAATAATTATTATTATTATTATAACAACAACAACAATAATAATTATCATTATAACAAGAACAATAATAATTATTATTATAACAAGAACAATAATAATAATTATTATTATTATAACAATACCACCAACAACAACTATTATTATTATTATTATTATTATTATAACCCCAACAACATCAATAATTTAAATGAGACGACGACATGAGATGGGAGAGAATACCCATTGAAAGATATGCCAGTGTTACCGTGCACCACATGATGCTTAGAAAGTCATGAGATTACTAATCTGTTGGACTCTACCATTCATACTATCAGGCATATAAAAGCTAATAGATCAGACATTGTAATTATAGGAATGATGCTATGAAGCAGCTCAGTACTCATTTTTTCTTTCTTTTTCCTTTAATGAATTTTTCTTGTTTCTTAATATTTTGCTTAGATTTGGGGTTGAATCTTTTGCTATTCCAATGCACTTTCGGATCTCGGTGCGATTGGAAGCAAAATAAATGGTTTTTAAAATTATACACTTTTCCTATAAGAAAAAAACTGGCTTTGATAATTTTTCACAAGGATACAATTGTGGGATATCCACTGAAAATTGAAATCGGAACGCGATGGCAATCCGTCAGCTGGACCAGTTTGAGAGCAATTCCCAAACGTCGAGGCGTCTCCGATTTATATCGTTATAAGACTATATCACGGTTATTTAGTGACAAATTGAGAGCCGTATGAAATGGTAACAAAGAGGGTGGATAGAATACAAGAAATGACGTTGAATAAAGAAAGTAATTTCTATGAGGAAAGCTATAACTTCTTGTCGCATAGAAGTTTAAACTAATTAAAGAGGTGAAGTGAAAAGAAAAAAAGTGTAGGACAAAAGAGGAAAAAGGAAATAGAAAGACTTGAAAACAATACAAGGTAGAGAAGAATAAAAGAGAGAAAAAAGTGATGCCGAGAAGAGAAGAAGAGAGGGGAAATAACAAAGAAGAGATAAGAAAGGGTAAGAGGCAAAACGAAGAAGCAAAGGTACGATTCAAAAATGGAATATGGAGAGGCAAAAAAATATATATATATATATATATATATATATATATATATATATATATATATATATATATAAAGGCCATAAGGATAGAAAGATAAAAAAAGAACAATTGGAGCAAGAGAGAAATGGACAAGAAAAGAGTAGAGTTGTAAAGAAGAGAAAATTTATTCATTGTGGAAGAGAAGAGAAAAAGTTTGAAAGTAAAGAAAGACAGCTTAACCTTAATAAAAACGATAGGAAAGACATTATTAACATTCAAGAGACTGGGGTTGGTAAGAGATACAAAAGGCTGGAGTTTGTTCCCTTGTGTAACCAGACTGGACGTAGTTATCTCGAAGGCTGGAATGAGATTGGCTGTCGTGTGAGACGCAGGTGTCTTGTAGATAATTACCGACTTCTTGCAACAGGAGTACTATTCTCCCACAAACCCAAGTTGTCTCTCATTATTACTTTCTTTCTATTAGAATCACTTTCTTTCTCTCTATTTTTTTTCCGTCTTTCTTCATATCTTTCAAATTCATTTTTCTTCATTTTGCTAGCTTTTTTTTTTCATTCTTTTAGTCCTTCGAGTTCATCAATTTTTTAGCTGTTTTTCCCTTTCACTCTTGAACTGGGAAGGCCGCTTTTGGGTAATGTCAAGGAAGTTACTCTCGTAAACCATTATTAATGAACAGTGAGTTCGATCCTTACCATACAAACTAAGTTAAATTGAGGAAATACTCAGGAGAGGGTGCTGAAAAGTTCCAGGTCTATTGCCTGTTCTGAAACCTGATCAAATATCAGATAATTTTTTTATAAAGACGTTCCGGTTGGGCTGATTTTTTTTTCTCTAATTTGACTTTAATTCCAATTTTTTTTTTCAATCTTTATTTTCTTTGTTTATTTTCTAAGAGCTTGACTTGGAAGAGCTTGTCTTGGAAGAGCTTGACTTAGAAGGGCTTTACTTAGAAGAGCTTGACTTGGAAGTGTGTGTCTTTTTTTTTCTCTTCTCGACGTAAAAGTTACAATTAGAGATTTGTGATTCTAATTAATGTTTATTTCTATTTGAAATATACCAGAATATCTTGCTTACTGGAAATAGTAAATGTAATCATTTAGCTTTCGATGAAAGCTTCAAGAATGTTTTTTTTCATTTTTAAAAATTTATTTTAAAACTTAGTTATCGAACATTCAGGAGAGGTGCCTACATAAATAAATATCAAGATCGAAATTGTGCCTAAGTCATTCATATTGAGTACTGACTGGTTTTTGTCCATTTTTCTCTATTCGTACTCGTAACTGAAACCCGCAAAAGATTAACATTGAATTGTTTTTCTAAAATGTTTGATCTGACACATCCTATTTGAAAAAATGATAAAATACAATAATTAAACAGATGTCGTCAATTGAATTTAAAAACCTTGCAAAAATATTCGTTGCCTATATATATATATATACAATCTAAACTTACATTTGGTTTAAAGACATAATTATGGGTTCCCAGGGATGATCAATTTCATTACACACTAATAAACTACTGTAATAATCAGCAACAAACCTAAGAATACCGCGTGAGAGAGAGAGAGAGAGAGAGAGAGAGAGAGAGAGAGAGAGAAAAGGAGATAGAGGAAAAAGTGTACGCGTATGAGTTTGCTTGTATTTGAAAAGAGAAGGCGAAATCTATTTTTCTCTCTTCTACTCTTTCGTTTAATACAAATGTGGTGCACAAAAAACACAGGAAACCATGACAGCCAACTGAGTGTATATAAGAAATGTGAGTCATAGTCGAACACACTAACGAAGATGTAAATGTCTGTGTATGCGGTTATAGACATAGTGAAATAATATACACACATATATAGTGAGTAAAATAGGCCATTTCCAACAGTTTACTGGGTATCTCTACGCACATATACATATGTATATGCATTTAAATATATATTTTGTGTGCTAGTGTTTTTTGCACGCACACACACACATACACACACGCGTGTATGTTGTGTTTATATATATATATATATATATATATATATATATATATATATATATACTGAAATATCACACATAGATATTACATATTGTTTGTCTGTATGACTTTATGAAACATAAAAATCACATACATACATACATATACATTATTATATATTTTACATACATATATATATATATATATATATATATATATATATATATATATATATATATATAATGTGTGTGTGTTTTTGTCTGTATGCCTTAATGAAACATAAAAATCACATACTTACACATACATACATATATATATATATATATACATTATATATATATATATATATATATATATATATATATGTTTGTCTGTATATATAAATATAAAATCACATACATATATATATATATATATATATATATATATATATATATATAAAAATGTGTGTGTGTGTGTTTTGTGCGTTAGCTTCCTGGCTGTTGTGCGGCGCAAAAGCAAACTTGTGAAGAACTCTCGTTGAAAGGGGTTATGATTTCGTTTTGATGTTTTGCAATGATTTGACTCAGACACTGACACTTTCTCCTAATCTTTCCTTCTACCATCGCCGTGTTGTTAGGCAGGGCGCGGCTGGGTGTATCACGAAATTCGTTCCGGTTCTGAATCGCTACGAATGAAAATAAGTCTAACTAAAAAAAATAAATAAATAAAAAATAAAGATTCTTTTGGTTTTGTTGGTATGGTGGAGGGACGGATTTGTATATCGGTCTGGATTCCAATAAACTTAGAGATTTCGAACGCATTTTTCCGCTCTTCATGAGAGTCCTGTTCTTTCTTTCTTTTTTCTTTGTCTTCTTTTTCCCGCCCATTTATCTTTTCTCCATCACAACCATCATGCTTTTATTCTTTTATGATGATAATGATAACAACAATGTATGATTATTATAGTAATATTACCAGCATTGTCAGATGTGTCTCGTCTATGTTAAGATATTTATTGTTTCGTAGCTTTTCTTTTTGTCATTTGATGATTTCAATTTACTATTCCGACTTTGTTTTATTTCCTTCCTGTCACATAATTACTTTCATTTTCTAATAGTAAAACACCTGAAACAATGAAAAACAATGGAAGAATCGCATATTTTTAAAGTTAAAGAATATAACATTGGGCTAAATTGATTGTTTGGTTAGTGTGTTTTATTCTTATCCTTCATCTAGACCTAACCGTCACTGGTGTCTCATCTCCCATTATTTTGACGTTTCTTGCATCTTTAAAGTAATTTATTAAATGCGATAGAAAACTTTAAAAAAAAAACGGTTTTAATGTACTTCTGGTTCTTTCGCTTAAAACCAATCTTCACCTTATTTTGTACTGAGAGATTGCTGAAAAGTTCTCGGCTCAATCAATTAGAGATTGCCTGCATCAAATTCTTGCGTTTGGCCAGATTTGGGGAAAATCCTACTCTGTCCTTGTATCTCGGCTTTAGTCACATTCCCACCACCATAAAGTCGTTTCCTTTTGCCTCATCTATAAATGTTTTCACGGTAATTCTTCTGGGGAGCATTCCTTGTCGCTTCCTTGAATTCAAGAATGTAAGAGTTTTATTAAATTAGGAGTTAGTTTTCATGGTTTCACTGAAATTGCCCCTCTCTATCTATCTATCTATCTATCTATCTATCTATCTATCTATCTATCTATCTATCTATCTCTCGCTCTCTCTCTCTCTCTCTATATATATATATATATATATATATATATATATATATATATATTTCTATCTCTCTCTTTCTCTATCTATTTATCTCTATCTCTGTCTCTATCTCTATATCTCTCTATCTCTATCTATCTCTCTATCTCTATCTCTATCACTATATCTCTATATATCTCTATCTATCTCTATCTCTATCTATCTCTCTGTCTATCTCTCTATCTCTATCTATCTATCTATCTCTCTCTCTCTCTCTCTCTATATATATATATATATATATATATATATATATATATATATATATATTTCTATCTCTCTCTTTATCTATTTATCTCTATCTCCATATCTCTCTATCTCTATCTATCTCTCTATCTCTATCACTATATCTCTATCTCTATATCTCTATCTATCTCTATCTCTATCTATCTATCTATCTATCTATCTATCTATCTATCTATCTATCTCTTCCGTACAAATATATGTATAATAAAAGTGTTCAATCTATATATAGGGGTATTATGAACAGATCCCGCAGGTAAAAATATATCACTTGAACGCGGCATATAAAAACGTTGCGCAAAACAAAGATATTTTATCGTTGTAATCATCATTCTCATTTAATTTTTTTTTAACTTCTTTCTTTATCGCTAATTTTTTCTATCTTCTCTCTTCACACATTAACGCTATGCTGACTTTCCTAAATATTTTTTCTTTCCTCTCTCACATAGTTTCGATTTTCTATTCCAAGATTTTTTTTTCAAAGAAACACAAGTATTTGTATTCCTGCAAGCCTTTCTTTCAATCACCTTTTTGTACACTGACTTGTTTATTTTTTTTAATTTGTTAGTAATTCCTATTTTTGACAAGTTCACTTAATATTAATAACATAAGCTGTTAATGACATAAGTTTCTTTATTATTTTTTGTATATCTTTTACCCGCTTCGTTCGCAAAGTTATGATTCCTTTATTTCCAATTTCTTGCTACGGGTCCTTATTTTATACGATTTACGCTGTCAATATTCACATATTATACTCGGAAGCCAAAATTTAAATGCTTTTACCCCAAGCAAGGCGATAATGTCACTAAGACGCAACGTGTTACTGAGAGTGAAAGAGTACATGAAGACTGATTCTCTCTCCATCACGCTGCATATACGCACGTCATGTGTAAGAAAGGGCATTAAAATAATGAGATTCTAGGAGAGATTTGATTACGATTGGCGATGTATTTAAATTTTTTGAATTGATATTGTAGATGGCTGGGAATCAAGAAATTGAAATGGAGTTCCACGAGTGAAAAATACTATTAAAATACGGTTGAATTTAGCTACTACAACAGTAAAACCGTTCTTTCAGTCGAGGTACAAAGGAAGAATACTCATCAGAACAATTACCATGAAAATATTGATAGAAAAGACAGACGGAAGCTAAGTCACGTCAGTGAGAAAGTGGCTAAAGTCGAGTTGCCAGGTCAGGATCGATTACATTACATACGCATCTTTGAACTTTAAGAATCTTTAGATATATAAGAGTACCAAACCAGATATAGCAACAATATTCAATACACGGACGAATGGTAGATTTATAAATATGCAAGATGGATTCTGACGAGAAAAATTGTCATGGTATGACTCGGTGAACCAACTATCCTATCAGTAGACGTAGCAATTGATTCAGTATAATCATTTCACTTCATGTCAGTAAAAAACGTGATCCCAAGAAGGTGCAAATATTTGCCATTTTTGGAGTTAGCATCAGACGTGCTGAAGACTGGTATAAAAATTCGAATATGGTGCTTAAATGACAGCAGTTTTCTTTGGGACGTATTAAAATTTACAAGTCATTCATTGTCTCAGTTAATCACTGATTGGAGATCATTTTACCAATTTTATTTTGTCGGATTTATTACTAAGACATTATTATTATTATTATTGTTCTTAGTGTTGTTGTATCCTTCTAAAATCTTACTTAGGAGCTGATGCAGAAAGAAAATCGTAAATGCGAAGCGCGTCATATTATGAAGTCAAAATCTAACTTGAGATCGGTAAATGATCAATTCGCAATGATATTTAACTTTGTACCCAGGTTTTTTCTCTTTAAATATTTCAACAAGATATTTTCAAATGGAAAATAAATAGCATATCTATTTCTCATCCTTGTATCTCTTCGCGTGACAGTTTTCTCTGTGACACATCTTACATAAACCTCATTTTTACGAACTTGCCTCCCTTCGAGATCTAGATAGTAGTCTCAGCGAGTGGTCATTATCTTTACCTTTTCCTTTGCGACATTTCACATTCAGAGCTTTTTTTTATTATTTTCATGGTAATTGCTGCGATGAGCTGCTTTCGCTGGTTACTAGACTTCGCGAATTCAAGCGTTCTACGAGGCCGGCATCCCACTGTCACCCTTTCACTGTTGAAACTGTTAAATATAGCCGCCTCTTCTACTCCAAAAGATCCATATCTCGCACCTCTCGCCTGTGGAACTGTCTGATAGCTATAATCTCCAACTATTCAAATGTAATGTCAATCGACATCTCCACTTTTCTTGATCTATCCACTATCCTTCTCCTCATCCTTTCTTCTATCACTCCTATCTGCTCTCGCTCCAAATCCTTTGTAACCCCTTGCGTGCTAGTGGCTTCCCGCCTTGCTAGGGGTGAAATGCTTCAAAAAAAGAAAAAGAAAAAAAAATACATCAGTCTCTAAATCGCTTTTACTACGACAAATAGGCTCTTAACTTCTTTCATCGCGACCCGTCATTTTTCAAATCTCATTCTTAGCCGTCTTATCTTTCTCTGGGCGTCATTTTCTGCGAAACTTTTTCTCCAGAACGTCTCCATCTGTGAGCCGTCTTCTATAGTCGCATTATTTTTAGCCAGTCGACTTCTTAAACTACATCCGCGTCCTGGGGAAGACGATAAACTACGTCCAACAGCAAGGGCTCTGATCAGGAGGTTCTGAGGTGCGTAGAACCACCTCTTAATTGCTGGTGTTCCAAGGTTCACACTGACACGGACTGGTAGCACCTGTCAGTGTCCCAGTTATGGGCAAAGAGTAAACCCCCCCCCAAACTGGGGTCAAAACACTATGAAAGTGTAAAAATAGGTTTTAATACCAGAAATACTGTGAAAAAATATTACCAGCAATATATTTTTTATCGCTTTTTTTAAGATAAAAAATTACTAGAAATACATTTTTGAAAAACATATTACAAAAAATCAAAAATTTGTAAGCATTAAATAACCCATTGAAGTTGATATGCCGTAAACCAAACCAATCCTTTGGACTTTTATCTTAAAACAAGGTCCTTTCTCTGCCGCCTATTTTCTTAGAATGTCTTTCTTGACAACCATTTTTTTTAGTGTATTTCTTTATCTACGACACTTGTCCCCTGAAATCCTTTCTTCAGAGCAGTGTCTCTTTGAACCTGTTTCTTAGTGAACTGCTTTCTCTTGGATTCAACGTTCCACGAAATATCAGATTTTGAATATCTATACAGTGACCCATTTCCGTTCGACATCTTTCTTCAGGAACATCTTTGCTTGGACAACGTCCCCTTTGACCTTTTCTCTGGACATCTTTCTCCGCGAGTCTGGATCTCTTTCCCCACGTAGGCACTTCGAGCTTTCTTTCACCTGGATAAGCCTTCCTCGAGACTTTTTGCTTCCCCATCCGGTTTCATCTATACCTCTTTCTGTACAACGCGCTTCTCTAAGTTCATCTTTCCCTGGAATTATCTTTCTAAGTCTGGTTCTACTGTATAAATATTGAATCATTGGATATACTCGTCACCCTTCGATTGAATTTGGTTATTTCATTATTATTTGAAGAGATTTCTTTTCTTTTTTTTTTAAGGATCTAATTGCTTGTATTAATTCGTTCCTATTCGGTCACCAAAGATAATAAAAAAAAAACGAGGGAATTATCCTTGAAAATGTTCAGTTTTCTTTTTCTTTCCCATTTTTGTTGCTTCTTATATTTTGTTCTTAATGAGAAAATTATAACAATTAACGAAATAAATGTTGTGATATTATACATCATTAATTGTAATTATAAATAATTAACACTTGCGAATGAACGCATGCTCACCCATAGTTTTTTTTCTCTTATTACACACATAGATCAGAAAACGTTGAGTAGATTCATATGTTTATTTATACTAGTAATGATACCCAACATTGTGAAGGGCTAAACCCTTTCCCTTCCCATCTGCGTCGTGGATGGCGTAATGGATAACAGCTCTGAATGAGAAATCAGAGAGCTATGTTTCGATTCCAGTCGATTCCTTATATTCATTGACGCGTAAATACCCTTGCTTCCTCCGCCTAGATAGGGGTTAAATAGTAAGAATTGTATCTGTTAAAATCATTATCGGCAAAACATTGTCAATGCAATATTCACTCATTAAAAATAAAAATACTTAAATATATTCCCTCTTTAAATAACCCAAGTAGTGTTGATACGTTGAAAATAATAATAATAATTAATCACCCCTGCCTAATTCCTTTTTTGAGAAATTTTCATTCTCTTTACTGAAATAATATTAACGAAGTTGTTATAATTAAAGCAGTTCGGAAGATTTTTTTTTAATATACGGTTAATATTATAATTGGATCTTTGCTGTTAATTCACACCATATAATGTAAAGTAACTTATCGCAAATATTAATTCACCCCAAGAAATTATAAATTTTAAATAATTTTTTTTTTATTGTTATTACATTTTTGGCACTCTTTTGAAATTATAATTTTACCTTACAACAACTCAAAACCTCAGAATGAAACATTACCAAAATCTGGGAGTTATTTTCATTTCATAAATGCGAGTGATATTCAAGGTACTTACAGGGAATTTTACAATTAAAAAAAAAACAAACATCTGTTTTGGGCGTGTTTATCGGAGTAAGAGCGAATGTAGACCCCCACACTTAGAAATAACGCACTTAATTCGACCACATTTGAGACGATTGCAAAGGTCAACCTAAGCGGATTTCAATGGAATGGCCTCACCTTGAATTTTAATAAATGTGTAATCTTTTTACTTTGGGATGAATAGATAAATGAAAAAGAACCTTATAAATTAGCTTACTCGTGATATTTCCCAAATGCTCTATAAAAATATAAACATCATTTACTTCCGCACTCCTAAAGAGAATTGTAATAATAACCATTTCCATATACAGAACCGTTTGGCGTTCTTTGCCCGAAAAGCCACGGATACTGTCGGTTGAAATTTACACCTTTCTCATAAAACTAATTCCAAGAAAACAGGTTTCTCAAGTCCACTAACTGATATCGTCTTTCATATTCTTTTGTTAGTTACCCTCTTGATAAATCGATCAGTGTGAGATTCGAACGCTAAAGATTTGACCACTTGGCTACACACCCACTGAAAACAAAAATGCACTTTTGCATATAAAGTGCCATTTCACGACCTTGTATAAACTGAATTTTCGTATTTTCCGAGCACACCCCATTACCAAGATTGCTCGCTGATCTCTGTCGCAGACGTCCAGCCATGCATATTTGTGCTTCTTCAGCAAATACTAAACCAACCTGTGGTTTAGACTGCAACTATATCAAGCGTTTCTTACTTACAGTTTTTAGGAGACAGCATATAATCTAGCATGATCAGTAGCTGAACAAACCAGTACGCTTAAAACCTTCGATCACGACGACTTGTAACTTCAGGCCATCACAACCATTCACAGCTCACGAATAAATTCGGCAACCGAATTCCCAACAGTGCTTCACACTGTGATCTTTTCCCCGATATTATTAAAAAATTAACTTTCTCGATAGATCCAATATGGCGCGATTCGAAGCAGAGTTAAAATACTAACGCTTCACGCGCCCATACATACAGATTGTATGACGTATATGTTTTCGCAATAAAATTACTATTGTTTTGAGGATATCCGAACAAAATTGTATATTAGTTCTTAATATTTTGCAACTCTTTTTCCATGTGTAGTACTGAATGCGTCAAACTTTTTTTTTTATTTTTACCGTCTTCTCAAATAAAATTTCTGACATTATTAAAATCATTTATTCTTTTCTCAACTTGTAATTTGAATTTCTATTTTTTTTCATGTACTTTGATCCCTGCTTTTCACATTTTCCAAAGTTTTTTTTTTTTATCACTCAATAATTTTATACTAGTTTGTTTCTCCTTTCAGACAGCTCAAGAATATTTCTATTACTGAAATTAAAAAAAAATAAATTCAAATACGTATAGTACTATATTTTCTTATTCACAATATGTTGAACAACTCTCATGTTTTTACATAACCCATTATAGATAGACAAATAAGAAAGTGCACTAACAAGTAAGAAAATATGAAGGACATTTGTATTGAGAAATAAATGCAGAATGATAGGAACATTGGCTAAGGTCACTAAAGCATCAAAATACCAAATTCCAGTAAAGGAATAGATGTAAATAGGTTCGCCTGCAGTCTATTTCACACCTCACCGTTTTTTTAGGACTAGAATTTTATTCCTTCATTCCGGTTCCTTCTAAAGTCTATTTCAATTCTATACTTTTTATGTTTCCGCCTAAACTCTGATATTGGATTTACTATTCATTTTTCCGTAATAGGAGTAGATGTGTTCACCTATCGCCCGGTTCGAATATCAACTCGTATTTTTTTAACAATAGACGTGTATCCCTTGTTTCATACCCAAATATGGTTTTCCGGTTCTTTCTAAAGTCTACTTCGTCTATATATTTCTGACGTCTCCGCCTAACCTCTGAAACTTTATTTATTATATTCACATTTTATTTTTTCCTCAACAGTTGTGTATAGATTCGCTTATCGTCCAGTCCACACTCCTCTTCAATCATTGGAACAGGAGTAGTAGTGCATTATTCGTTGTTGCCTGTTCATGATTGAGGTTCCAGTCCCTTCTAAAGTTTTCTAATTCTCTTTCATTCCCAGTAGCACTTTGCGACTTAGAGGCATTATCGCCTTGCTTGGGGTGAACTGATAATAAATAAACTCTACGAATAGATAAATGAAAACTGATTACGCAACAACTATTTTCAATAATGAATCTAATGCTATATTAGATGTATTCGGTCTTTGGGTAACCCAAAAAGTTCTGTCCGTTTTTAAAGGAAAAAAAGAAAACGCTTCACAGTATGTGTAACTTATATTTAGTCTTCGAAGTAATTGCCATCGGCATCCAGCACCTTCTGCCAACGTGTCTCCAGCTGTTCGATGCCCTTGCGGTAGAACTCGGGGTGGGGGGGGTGCTTTGACGCAAAGAAGTCCGTGAGGGCTTTGCGCAACTCTGCTTCATTGGTGAAGGATTTCCCACGAAGATGATAATCCAGGGAGCGGAAGAGGTGGTAATCGGATGGCACAAGGTCAGGTGAATAAGGTGGATGGCACAAAGTCACCCATCCAAGTTGCTGTAGGTTATCCCTGACCACTCGCGCGACATGCGGCCTGGCGTTGTCATGGAGGAAAAGCACACCTTTGCGATTCACCAGTGCTGGCTCCTTCTGGCGCAATGACTGTTGCACCCGTTTCAATTGCTGCGAGTATAGGTCTCCAGTGTCCCTTTGGTCCGTTGGTAGCAGTTCATAATGAACCACTTGAGGACCTGTCCGCCAGACACAAAGCATAATCTTGCGTGGGTGCATAGGCGGTCTTGCGGTGTGAGGGACAGCATCCTGAGGAGACAACCAATGTCTGGAACGCTTGGGAGTTTCGTACGGAACCCACTTTTCATCACTGGTAAGAACACGATTGAATAAGGATGCGGTACGGTGGCGAGAAAGCATCGATACGCAGGCTGCCACTCATTGTCTCTTGTGAACCTCCAACAGCGTTTGCGGAACCCACTTGCTCAGTTTGTACGTCTAATCTCGGCGGTGCAGGTGAAGTCTAACTGTTTCATCGTAAACGTTGAACTGTCTTGCAAGTTCACCACACGTTAGACTACTGTCCTCTTCAATGGCCGAATTCAGGACTCCGTCATTCAAGACCTGTGGTCGTCCACTGCGAGGCTCATCATGGAGAGACAAATCTCTCGACTTTAACTTTCGAAACCAACGCCTTGCAGTACGTTCATCCACAGCACTATCCCCAAATGCTTGACATATGCGGTGACTTGATGCAGCTGCTGATAAGTCCACTTTGAAGTCGTAAAGCATACAGCCCTGAACGAGATTTCTAGACACTTCCATCCTTCTCACAGCTTTCCAGCTTATAACTGATGGCCGGGTCCGACGGTGCGCGTGTTTTTTTATAACGTCTGATGTTCCTACTTCCGGCTGTCCGAATTTGAAAACAATTTTTTGCATTTCGTATATATTTTTTTGGTTCATTCAATGATATAATATAAATATATATATATATATTTTAATTTTATATATATATATATATATATATATATATATATATATATATATATGAACTTAAAATTTTCAAGATAAGAGAAAATCTGTTTGAAGGAACTCTTCAACTTGTTTGACCGTCGAAGCACTCTGTAGCTGAGAGGTCAAAGCACGTCAGATCTAATGACGGTTTCCCCTACGCGAACGCAGGTTAGAATCGTGCCGGAGAGTGCATATTTTTCTCTAATAATATTTTTTGAATATTCAGGCCGGTGGACGAAAATAAATATATCAATATACTGTTTAATAAATAAATAGAGCGTCTAGTCAAATATTAGTATATCTAAAAAAAAAAAAAAATAATGTTTTATTAAAAAATCGGTTGGATCAATAAACAAAAAAAAAATCCAAACTTTTTTTTAAATACACACACGTGTGTGTCTCATTCATTCATTCATTCATTCTCTCTACGATGAACCATATATATATATATATATATATATATATATATATATATATATATATATATGATTACGTACACTATTTAATCAATGGTGTAGACAAAACAGTGATCATTTTTGCTAAACAGAGCTATAAAGTATATATTAATAATTACACATATACTTATATCGTACTGTAAACGTAGGTATGTGCGTAATTATTAATATTTGTTTAAACGATTTTATTTATTAAACTGTATATTTATTTGTTTACATCTACTGCCTTGAATAGTCGAGAAATCTTGTTAGAAAATATATGGATCCTCATACAATATTCGAACCTGCGTCCTACAGGTGAAACTCATTAAATCTGACATGTCTTAGACCATCTCGGTCATGTAGAAACTCCTGGTCGAACAAAGCCTGAATAATGCTTTTAAGACGCGTCTTCGCGATTCCAGAATTTTTCTAACCCGATTTCTCGAATATTGAGGTCGGTTGATGTAAATAAATATATAAAAGCAAAGCATCTACTCAAATATGAGTATCTATTTAAAAAATAACAAACAAATTTTTAAAAATCTGTCGGAATTAAATCCATTTCTTATTTATATATATATATATATATATATATATATATATATATATAGCATAATGAGAAGTTATTTTCATTACTTTCTTAATATGTATATATAGAAAAAGCTGCATATATAAATAAATACTTTCATAAAATAAAACATTATTATTTTTTTAATTTGCAACTTTTTCTATATATATATATATATATATATATATATAGATATATAGAGAGAGAGAGAGTTTTAATGTTTGCTATGGCATTTGTATTGTTTCATTTCGTTTTTGAAATGAAAAACGCACGAAAAATATATAAATATGAGAAGAATGAATATAAATGTCGTTTTCCTTTTCGCAGTGAAAATTACCACTTCCCCAACTCGAATGTACGGTATAATTGTCTCTGCCCCGTTCTCTGCATTGGCTCTGTGGTAATTTCTGTAATTATAGCGCACAGACCAATAAGAAAAGATCCCCAAGACAAATTCACTCCTCTCTCCATAGATTATTCACCAATGGCTAAGTGTCCTCTGCGGTCGTCTTGTTGGATTGACCGAATGCCATCTCAAATTTTGAGCATCATCATTTTTTTTTTCTTTTTGCATTCATGGGAATAATTTATTTTTCTTGCTTCTTTGGTTTTTTATTTTAACGTACTTTTTTTTTAATTTGCTGTTTTTCTTTGGAATATTTTCTTGAAAACTTCGCTTATCTCTATTGTTTTTCACTTCGTACTGCCTTTTGTTCTTGGGTTGCTGTCTATACTTTACCTACCAACAGATTTTTGTTTTTGTACAATTCTTCCTTTCTTGCAGAATTTGGTTCCCACTTATTATTAATCTCTTTCTTTTTATTTCCTGATTTGTTTTCCTCCTCTTCGTTTCATTTTGCATTTTTAGCAGATTTTTATTATTAGTTCGAAATATTTCCAGATTGTCTTTCGCTCAGTTAAATTTCTTTTCTTGTTGTCAGTGTTGATCCTTTTATTTCCCCTTTGATATTCTTTAAATTCATTCATTAATACACATTTTCTGCATCAAGTTCTATTTCTAAACACCGAGCACACTTTGAATCTCCTAATGAAATATATATATATATCCTATATATATATATATCTATATATTTCTCTCCCTATATCCACTTTTTTTCACTTTCTGCTTGTGCACTCTTTTTTTCTCTCTGTCCCGACCTGTAATCTTTTTTCCTTTCTCTCACTCCCTGTACTCTTTGTGCCTCACTGTCTTTCCATCCCTCTGCTCTGCTCTTTTCCTCTCTCTCTGTACTCTTCTTTCTTATTCTCTCTCTTATTTTCCCTCTGCTTTTTTATTTTCCTCTCTCTTTACTCAGTTCTTTTCTCTCCCTCTCTCTCTCTCAATTACCTTCCCTTTTTTTTGACTCTCTCACCGTCCCTCTCTGTGCTCTCTGACCTTCCCTCTCTGTGCTCTCTCGCCGTCCCTCTCTGTGCTCTCTCTCTCTTTTTGAATGCAGATAGACGAAATAATGTTTAA